CGATTCGTTTATTTGGTTGATGTGGTTCAACATTATCACTCTAAAAAAAGACAAAATATTAAATCAAAAATAAGAATTTATATGAAATTAATGTTACAACCTGTTGTAAAATGATTGGTTTAACATCAACATTTGTTGTTGTTAGAGCTTGTTGAATACTATCTCGATATGGTTTTACAATAACATTTTTAAATGGTATTGATGAAGATGATGATGGTTGTAATGTTTGTTGATGAAGAATGATAGGAGGTCGAACAATTGGATGAGCAGTTATAGTTTGAATGGAAGGATTTGAACTTGTTGATGAAGATGATGGAAGAAGAACGATGGACGGAGGATTACCAGACATTGGAATTCTCCTAACAATATGATGAATGATCGATCACTTTTTTTTTCTTCGATGAAACAATTATCTTAACATCCTTCCTTGTCCACTTACGATTTGATTGAAGGAAACGATATCCATATGAGTGATAGTTACAGAGGGCAGTATACGTCGAGACTGTACATATAATCAAATTTTTTGTACATGAAGGAAACAGAACAATAAAAGTACATTTTGAAATACGCTTTATGCTTTAGAATACATGTATTTTTTTTTCATGAATGTCTTAGTTTTCCATCAGTTTATTCATTAATTGTAAAATATTTTGATGAATGAGAGAAAGAGTAAGTTGTGAATTACTATCATTTAGGGAAAAACTTTTTTTGAATCTATTGAATATATACAAAAAAAGAAAGATGTTAAGAAAATTCTTAGGTTAGAGTTATTTTATATTTACTCTTAAAGCAATCAAGATTTCCAGTAACATAAATGGCAAAAACATTGTTACTTGTTCAGCTTCACTGAAATTTAAAGAATAATGAATTTGAGAAGTATTATGCATTTCAGAAAAGCATTCAGCGAACAATTGATGTCAATGACTAAGAACTTGATCAATCACATCGCACGTGCGAATGATTAATGTCTACCTTTGAAAAACTTGTAGAAGTAATTGATCGACTAATTCAAGTATTTTTAAAAATTCAAGAATGTCCTGAAATTGATATGGTTTGCTCGACAGTTGAGAATACATGTTGAACAACAAAAAAAAACAGACAAATAAATTTGAACATGTTTTCAAGAAGAAAAAATCCTAATTAGAATGTCATAAACATCGAGCAACATTCGTCTTTGATTTAGATGTATTGATTGGGACAAATAGTTTATCATAGTGCATAATGAGCAACTTCTATTTTACATGTTGGTTAAGTGAATATAACGAATTTTTCACTTCTTGAAATGTTTACCATAAGATCTTAGAAAGAAAAACATTGGCAAGAAATTGAAACTGAATTATCATATAGATAATCATAATAAACAAAAACAGAAAAAAAACCCGTAGCTTATTGCGATTTACGATAGTGATGTATGTCCTTGCTGAAAATGTACTTTTACTTTTTTTTTGCCGATATATGTCTACATAATAAAGGTAAAGCACAATAGCGTACCACGTGAATAGAAACATTATTGAAAAAAAAACGCTTTTTTTCATTCATTTTTAACATCAATGGCGATAGCAATAATGTCGTCGTCTCTGATTACATTACCTACGCGATCTTTAGACTGCGTTCTGTATAATCTCGATGTCATAACTATTGTATGTTCAGTTCGTGACGTTTTTACACGAATGAATGAACTTACAGATGACTACCACTTAAATAAGGTAAATTATGAACTATTAACACTCTTGAATAATACAAATAAATTTTGTTTTTTTTTTGTTTTATTAATTATATCATTATTCATTCTTATCTTTTTATATAGCGATTCATTACAACAAACTATCAAAGGAATTTTAATAGTGATCTCGGAGCAAAACATCTGGCGGATGCAATACTACAGAACACTGTAAGACAAGTTTTCTTTTTTTTTCTCTATTTCATAATAACATTATTAACATTAAAAATAGAGACGAATAACACTGCATATTGTCAGGAATACAATTGACAACAAGACTATGGAATCACTAATATATATGTTACAATATAATATGGTAAGAAAAACTTTTAGAATCATATATTTTTAATTTGATGATTTTTAAGCCAACACTCATCAATCATGATTGCTCATTTAATTCAATTGGCTATGAGGATAGACACTATTTGAGTATGATATTATTAACTGTCATTGTAAGACTAGTATTTTCATTTCTTTGATATATTTTACTTTATATTATTTTGTTCGATTTACATTATTTTTTATAGAAATTCATTATGTATGATTTTTATTCTAATCATATAGACTGTTATAAGTCACTATATTGGGTTAATACATTACAAATATATGTTGTGATAAATTTTCTACTCAAATATCTCGTATTTATTTTTTATCCTCCATAAAATCAATGATCACTTCAGAAATAATCAAATGTTTGTGATATAACAGTTTTCACTAGTTGTCGAATAGATTTATTTTTTAAAACTGTGATTTTTTATTTTATAAATGTTGACGCTGATGTAAATATTAAGTAAATAAAGAGCAAAGCAGAATAACAAATAGCAATATTTTATTATTGGTATTATTTGCAAATAAACGTGAAGGTTTGTGTTTTTTCCTATAGAGCAATCAATTTATAAATAATGAATACAGATCGAATGTTTAAGTAGTTGCTCCAATATGTAAAAGAAACGATAAAATGTTATCACAATTATAATTATAATTGATGAAAAATTTTGTAGAAATAAAAAATAAGACGCGAATAAAATTAACTCGATGAATTTTCTATTGGAATATGCTAATATTGCTGTCAGTGACTTATAGAATAAACTGAATGAGCTATTCAACCATGATCGAGCTATCAAAGTAGTCAAATATTGCATCAAGACATAGGTATTCAGTCTTAAACTACAACAGCTTTGCATTTTATTTCGAAACAATTTCTCAATAACAAACCTTAAGTTAATAAAGAAAACTATGTACGTAGTTAATCTCTATAATGACTGTAACGGAAATAATAAACAAAATAAATCACAATGTATGTACTGTACTTTTCACTTTGAGAAAAGACATTGTGCAATTTCTTCTGATCTTGCCGCCCACTTGGCAATGCATCATATGTTATTCATTCTGCTAGTGATCGAATACTCCGACCAAGACTTACATCAGTTCAAATTGTGAATTTTATTTATAATTGAGATAAATTGTCTTTTTCTCTTTTGCTTTCCTATGTGTGATATAATCAAGTACTGGTTCGTTTATTTTCGAAGTAATATACTATGTAGTAGAAGCTTCATTTATATTCGAACTCAAACTAAGCAATTCAATGAGATGTTTTGAACACAATACATAGTTTAGTCTGAGTAAAATGCAACTGTAACAGTAATAGAAGAGGATAAAACTCACGCATTTCCATAGATGTCAGATAGTCATGGTGGAAGGAACATAACATGATTGGACTAGATACAGCCAATAGCAATTGTCATTGTACCAATGGATTTATTCTAACTCCGCCTACGACGAAGACAATCTGTTGTGCCCATGTGAGAGATGCAGAAGAAAAAACAAATGTAGATAACCATTATTACGAACTCTTAGTCCATCTAATGTCAAAAACTTTATGGATAAAATATCAACTGAAATATCAACTAGCGGTTTGGTTGCATCAACAACAACAACAATACCAACTGAAAGGCGTGCTCTTAGTGAAGTAATGCAAAGTACTAAACGTTCAGGTGGTAATTATGGTAGTTTGGCTAAATCACAATTACAACCTACATATTATATTTGTCATAAAGTTGAATCAAATGATACAATGCAAAGACTTGCATTAAAATACAGTATCAATGTGCGTAGTTTTTGTTTTTCAAAAAACAAAAAAAAAAAAACATAACGAAATTATTTGTCTTTTTTTTAAGATTCAAGAAATCAAAAGAGTCAATAAATTATGGTCCGATGCTGAATTAAGTTTACTTGAAAATGTATATATTCCTGTTAATTCATCACAATTGTCAACATTACGAACATTATATCCGACATTAAATATTGTTCAAAATCCATCACCACCAACTAATAATGCGCGAAGATCAATAACAAATGCAAGTACAGATGATGAAACTACATCATCTCTTCAAACATCTGATAGTTCAACTTCTATTCCATCAACAACAACTACAATGTCTTCCTATGAAGATTATTTTTCAAAAATTGATCAACAAATACGAACATCAAAAAAACATTTACAATCATTTGATATTAATAAAACACATTCAAAGTATGAAACAAAAAAAATTAATCAATCGAATTCTTATTGTAAAATATTATTTAAAAATATTTTAGATCTTCATTAAATGAAATTTCTTCTTCATCGCCTATATCCAATAACAATAATAATAATAATAATAATAATAATAACAATAATGATAGTGGTGAATTAACTTCCTCTTCCAATGGTCGTACAACTATACGGAATAACGGACGACATAAAGGTATTCATCATCTATCAGATAATAGTGTATTTGTGAATATAACAGCAAACAATTCACGTGAAAAACATATTTCAGCTGCACTTGAACGAATTCGACGAGAACGAGATGATTTTGATGAATTATGAAAAAAAAAAATCGATCCGCACAAATTTCTATATGTATGTTGTCAGTAATGTGTATTTATGTTTCACTTTTATCTTTAATGAAAACCTTATTTATTGAATGCATTGATATATAATGTATTTTTTTTTTGTTGAATGAACAACAATTATTGACAAAAAAGAACAAACCCGATAAATACTCTATTTACTTATTTTCTTTTTGCTTCATTTTTATGTAATTTTCCTCTTGTTGTCATATCCAATACCATAACATTTTCGTTTTTTTTCGTGTTTGTCTCGCATTTAAAGTGTTTTTGAAATTAAACAAAAAAAAAAGGAAGAAACAATAAGAAAATACAAATAGAATGATTTATTTGACAAAATGGTGTGATTATAATTATTTAATTATAGATTAAGAAAAAAAAAACATCAATGTTTCGCGTGTATAGCAATACACGAGTCATTTATGGTCTATGCAGAGCACTTAATAATCAAATTAGTAAACGATATCAATCATCATCATCATCATCATCAACAACAACAACAGCAGCAGCAAATGTTGCTTTAGAGCCAAATGTATCAAAAATGTCAATGTTTAGTGGACATATAAAAGGAGCAATTACTAATAATTTAGAATTTATTCGTCCAGAAAATATAACACCAATTTCAATGTATCAAGTTCTTGATTCTGATGGAAGTATTAAAGAGAAAAGCCATACACCGAATGTAAGTAACTGATTTATTATAATCAAATTCATTGATTTTACTTCTTTAAATATTTAAATATTAACTTATTTTTCATATACAGAGTGACTAATAAATTGAAGCTAATAATGTTAGGCTTACAACGTATCTATTTGACAGCTTCTTTATAAGTAAAAACTTTAACAAGCTCTCTATCATCGAGAAAAAAATCAGCTCGGTCGATTAAAGCAGACTGAAGATATTGAATTTTTTTATTGTCTATTTATTTATAGGTCACTCTGTATGTATACAGTGGCTACTGCTGATTTGAATAGAGAAAATTGTTTTCAGAAAGAATATCAAAACAAAAAAAAAATTATTATCAGTAAATTTCATAGAACAATAGAGTAAACAATGCTTTACGAAGCGAGATGTCTCCGAGTTCTCTGTGACATTGTTTAATTGGGATACAGCAATCATACGGAAGTCCCTAAGGTCGTTTTTTTTTGCAATTTCCTATAGAAAAAACGACTTTTTTGACCTTCAATCAAATTGCTGTATCCTTGCTAAAAATGTTGCAGAGAACTTGGAAACATTACATTTTGTAGAAGATGGTTTACTCTATCGTTCCATGTAGTCTAAACAAAATTATATTTAAGCAGTGAGTCTCTATCTTTGCGAATCTGATCATAATTCTTATTTCCTTATATTCTTGTTAGAAACCATTTTCTCTATTCGAATCATTATCTGGACTCTTTTTAACTCTTACGACAGCGAGAAAAAATTGAAAATCAACTTCGTTGAATAATTTCGGTGCTGACTGTATATGTGCCATGGGAAAAATTAAAATTTAGACTCATTTGAAATTCATCCTAGAATAAATTAAATTTTAATTGCCTCGCGAAAGAATTTTACATTATCCTAAATTTTGATTTTTTCAATAATATATATATATATATGTATATGTGGATGTAAATTATTTATTTAGTTTACTGATGAAGATCTAATAAAAATGTATAAAGATATGACTCTACTCAATGTATTGGATCGAATATTATATGAATCACAACGACAAGGTCGTATTTCCTTTTATATGACGAATTTCGGTGAAGAAGCAACACATATTGGTAGTGCTGCTGCTCTTAATGCAAAGGATCTTGTTTATGGACAGTATCGAGAAGCTGGTAAGAGATAAGAATGATTGAATTTTTTTTTCTAAAAATAAATAACTAATTTTTTTTTTGTTCTAGGTGTTCTTATGTATCGAGGTTTTAAATTACATGAATTTATTGATCAATGTTTTGGTAATGCTCGTTCATCTTGTAAAGGTGTTCAAATGCCAGTACATTATGGTTCAACCGATTTGAGTTTTGTAACCATTTCATCAACATTGGCTACACAAATGCCACAAGCTGTTGGTAGTGCATATGCATATAAAAGGTAAATGATCATTTAATTTTAATCA